TCTTTTTTTTTGTGGTGGGGGAGGAAGTGTTTCATCCTCATTGTATATTTTCAGTTAGAGATTAGATTACATTTAGGGAGGTTTTGGGCAAAATTACTTGTATTGAATGAGAAGGACATTCCGGCTCAAAGATTCTGTAATAATATCAAACTGATGAACTAAATCGCATGTACTTTAGAGATGTACCATTTTTTTTTCAAACATGAAAAACATGCTTTATTATTTTTCTATAGAACATCCCTATTGAAAATACATTTAAAATATATTCTTTTATACTTAGATGTCATGCTATAATACAGTGTGAAATAATGGTAATGAAATAAGCAAAAGTGATTTATTTAATACTTGCATTCATAAACAAAAGACTTTGCACAAATAGTCTGAAGAAACAAGGAAATAAATTCAGATTTTCTAGTAAAGTAGTATTTATTTGTGCAATGACATAATGACCTTGGTGCTTCTTGGAAGAAGTAAACTACTTACTATGTTGATGTGTTAACTCTTTCCAATCATTATAGTACCATATTCAGTAGATTTCTGATCCATTCTCCAACACGGATCACCTGGTACAGGTACAGTTTTAGTCAACCCACTTTAAAAGAGGTGCACCATTTTGCCCAGATCGCAGATTTTCCTCCGTTCTGCTCCAGGATGGCTTTTCACTGGAATTCAGATGCTTAGGGGAAAAAAAAAATAACCACTCCATCTCTCGCCAAAAGCTAGTTCATTTCCAATTGTTGCCAACTCTCAAGACTAAGACTCCAAGTTAGACAATACGTCATGTCTTTTCCCTGTTATCTGGACAGCTGTAGTCTTACAATTGTGTCTTAAGGATGTTGTTGTATTTGGAGTTCCAGCACATGCTGGAATGTGGACACTGCAACTCAGGACGAAAGGCTACTTAGTGATAGCTTTGCTTTGTCTTTGGGCCTACTCTTTAGCTACCATTTATTTTTTTGCCAATGTAGACATTCTATACTTAAATACTTTCCTTACTCATACAACATATATCATTTAGGTTCTTTAACTAATGAACACGTACAAAATCAATGATAAGACTTGGGCTGCCTTTTCCTGGATTCTCATTTATGTCTTAGAAGTTCTAAAAGTTCTGTTTTCAGATAGAGTAATTTATTTAAGTGTTTACTATATGCCAATTACTGTGCACAAGTGCTGGGGATACAGATATAAGCAAAAAGAAAGATAGTTCTTCAACCTCAATAGTCTAATGGGAGAAGACAACATTTCCCACCCAGCTGTACTCCTTTGGACTTCTCCATCAAGACCCCAAGAACCTAATCCCCAGGAACCTCATTATCTTACAAGAAGGCATTAGCCTTGATAACTTATATGACATCAGTACTCTCTGTCCCTCGGGCTGAAGGACAGAGCTATGAGCCCCTCCCAAAAACTCCATTTAAGGACAGAGCCCAGACCAGCTAGCTCTTTGTTTCCCACCCAGTTGCTTTCTTGGATTTCTCCATAATCCCTCCCCTAGCCCTCCTGCCCCCAAGCTTTTCAGCTTTATTGTATGTATTGTCATTCTTCATCAGACTGTAAGCTCCTTGAGGGCAGGGACTGTCATTTTGTATTTGTATCCCCAACATTTAGCACAGTGCCTGGCACACAGGAGGCCTTTAATAAATGTTTATTTATAGCAGTCAGTCAACTAGCATTTATTATATGTTGCGCTAAGTGGAGATACAAAGAAAAGCAGGAAAAAAAAGTCTTACTGTCAAGAAGCTCATAGTCTAATGAGGGAGACAAAATGCACACTTGCACAAATAAGATGTGTACAGGATAAATTGTGGGTAGTGTCAAGAGGGAAAGTATAAGATTAAGAGAGACTGGGAAGGACTTCTTGTAGAAAGTGTGACTTTAGCTGGAACTTGAAGGAAGGCAGGGTAAGGAAGAAGAGAGTTCCAGGCATAAGGGACAGCCTGGAGTCAGAGACAACGTCTGGTCTCTGAGAAGAGTAAGAGGTGCAGTGCCACTGTGTTGCAGAGTATGTGGAGGGGAAAAATGTGTAAGAAGACTGGAAAGGTAGGAAGGGGATAAGTTATTCAGGACTTCAAAAGCCATACAGAAGATTTTCTATTTAATCCTGGAAGTCTGGAGATGTATTGGAGTTTATTGAAGGGGCAGGGGCAGGGGGTGATACAGTCAGACCTGTGCTTTAGGAAGACCTTTGACAGCTAAGTAGCCGAATGAAGGATAGATTGGAATGGGGAGAGACTCGAGGCGGGCAGACCTACCAGTAGGCTATTGCAATAGTCCAGGCATTCTGCTAATAAAGGTACTAATAAGTACCTTCTACCAGGGTAATGAAGACTTACTCCAGGGTGCATACAGTCAGAGGAAAGAAGGGGACTTATACAGGTGATGTTACAAAAGTAGGGACAACAGGACTTGCACCTGATTTGGATATTAGATGGGGGAGGGGAATCAAATGACATCTAGGTTACAAGCATGGATAACTGGGACAATTGAGGGTGGTACCCAAGAGTAGTAGTGAAGGTGGAAAGATAGGAAAGTTGAGGTGGGGAGAAGATGATGAGTTCAGTTCTAGGCATGTTGAGTTTAAGCTGTCTTCAGGACATCTGTTTTGAGATGTTCAAGGTGACTAAGAGGCAGTCAGAGATGGACAGGAGGTCAAGAGGGCAGTTAGGGCTACACAAGTAGACATAAGAGTCATGCATACAAACAACACATAAAAAGTAACTGAATAATGGAGAAGGTGGGTGGATGGGAAGGTGTCATAATGGGGGCAGGATGGAGAAGTCATCCTGGGAGTCATGGGTAGAGCCAGGTTTGAAGTGAGCTTGTCTGATGCAGGTGCTTCTGGAGATTGGAGATTCTGGGAAAGAACATTCAGTTCAAAGATTATTACCAAAAGAGACCCATCAGGTTGATGAACTACAAAAAAGGGCAAATTCTTTGGGATTGAATTATTGTTAGTATTTCTAGAATCCCTCGCAAAAGCTACATGACTATCTTTTTTTTTCCTTTTTTTTAATTTAAGATAAGTTAAGGTTTAGGGTTGTTGCCAAGACTCTTGGCCCATTTTATAGCATCATTTTGCCCCCTCTAAGAGCTTAATTCTGGTACTTGAAGTCCTTAAAGATGGGCATTATGTTGGCAAAGTGATAAAATTATGGCTATTACTACTTATGCCCTTTTTCCTACTTGACTCATGTATTGACAAAATAAGGTTTATTGACTTATGCTTAAAGGTATGAGATTACACCCTAGAATCTTGGCATCCCTAGTTTTCTTTAAGGCTCGCCTAAGGTGCTAACACCTTCTGAGTCCCCTAGTTACTAATACTCTCTTCCCTCAAATTTACTTGTATTTATTTGCCTACATGCAGGTTGTCTCTCTGGTAGAATGTAAGGTCCTTGAAGGTAGGGACTATTTTGTTTCTGCCTTTGTATCTCCAGCACATAGAACAATTCTCTGTGAATAGCAAGCCCTTAATAAATGCTTAAAATGCTTAAAATTTTTTTAAAAAGGGGAGGGGCGGTAGGTGGTGCAGTGGATAGAGCACTGGCCCTGGAGTCAGGAAGACCTGAGTTCAAATCCAGCCTGAGACACTTGACACTTACTAGCTGTGTGACCTTGGGTAAGTCACTTAACCCCATTGCCTAGCCCCCCCCAAAAAAAAGGCAAAACAAAAATAAATGCTTAAAAATTAAATAGAGCCAATCAGTTCAGTAGAGGGAAATAGCAAATGTAAAATTTCATAATCATCAAATACGTTTTTTCCATGCCTCCAAACTGTTCTGGGAATATTAACAAACCTTCAAAGAAGTCAAGTGACTTACTCCACATCATTAAGGAGGCTGGTGGCCAAACAAAAAAAGTAGAATCCATGTTTCCTCCTAACATAGTCAAATCAAATAAGCAGAGGCCCAGAGCTTAGAAGAAGTCCTAGTATGACCAAGTAAAATATTTACAACCCATAATTACAAGCTATAAGATTGTTATTCTTTTAAGCTACTAATGGTTCCTGACAACAGATGCATCATCTCTGTGACACTAGTTGAGCTGGCAAGAACTAGTGGAAAATTTGTGAGCTGGGAAAATATTCTATGGGCATGAATACTTTTTAAACCTAACTATAAAGCTGTTATAAAGTATGCCCCCCCTCCCTCCCAGTAGACCTGTTTTGGGGTCAGTGAAGGGGGAAAGAGGAAATCTCTGAAGGAAAAGAAAGAGTGGAGCAGGTAAGCAGGTGAAGGGTAAAAGGAAACAGACCGAAAAAATAAGGCATTCCAGTCTATTTTTGTTTCTTCCCATTTTTTAGGTTATCTCATTTTGGCTTTGAGAAGAAAACATTTTTTAAGGGAAGATACCCAGTTTATCATGCCTTTTTCAAGGATTGTTTCTAAGAGTGTTGAGGTTGTGGGGCTGTTAGACCTTTAAGGAGATCCCATAACTGCTTCTCCGGAAGAGGCCAAAGGGCAGAACCCTAATGAAGCACTAATCTGTTTCAGAAAATTCACCTTCTCACTTTTTGAGGTGCCCCAGGCACTATTAGTTTCTCTGAAAATGGCCCTTTCAGCATTCATGCTTAGCGCTGCCCCACACCCTTGTCTCCATCCCCCACCCTTCCAGTTATATTCATTACTGCTTTCCCCAGAAATGCAACTTCCAGCTTTCCATGTGATGCAATCTTTGTTCTTTATACACTACTGCTTTGTTTGTAGATGATGCCAGGCAAGCCTCGCATCTCTGCTCTGGGAACTGATTGGGATTTTGTTCAGTGACTTTCAGATGCCAAGTGAAATAGGCCTCTGCTTCAGGCGAACAGGGAGAGACTAGCTTTCATCAGCTTATAGGGGCCGATTGTCTCCATACGTTGTCCTGGAGGGAGGCTAAAGAACCTAGTGGACATGCACAGATAAAAGAGAAGCAGGACTGTCTGGAAAAAGAATGGTACCGATTTCAAGTTAGTAACAATTTCATTTACTTCTTTCCTTATCTCTTATTGCCCACAGGTAAATTCTACTGTAAACCTCACTACTGTTACCGACTTTCTGGATATGCACAGAGAAAGAGACCAGCAGTGGCTTCTCTGTCTGGGAAGGTAACATCTAATTTTAATTCATTGGGTATTGGGAGGTAGGAGGGAGAGAACCATTAAATACCATTTGGGGGTGGGATGAAGGTAGGCATTAGAATAAAGTAATACCTTATTAAATATTATAGAGCTAGTTGAATAGCTGTTTGTAAAATCATTTGCAACGCTTAAGGAAGGACAGGAACTTTAGGAAAACCTAGTAGAAACAGTCCCTATCAAAGGAACCCAGGATCGGTTAAAGAAAGTTAAAAAACAGTATTTCAAAAGGAATCAGATTCTGTGCTTTCTTTGGGTTCTTTAAGTCTCACTACGTAGGCAAGGTTTGGAGATTAGATGGGTACGCCAGTCTTTCCAGCTTTAGTTATATTGTTTATATGACATAAAATAGGACTCATTCTGCGTAGTACAGTTTCTTCTCCACTTCTGGTAAGATGAGGTTCTCATTAGGAATGGCATTGGAGTCACATTTGAGAAGGTCTCATTGCTTACTCTGAGATGTGCCTAAGTGGAGAAGAGACAAAATTTCAATGTTTCTTACTTCCTTTTAACCATCCTCATTCTATAGATTTCACCTCACTTAGGGTATCAGTTGCTTACTGAGAGCTACTATTTTTGGGACATTTTGGGGGTGGTTTTTGGGGTTTGGGGTTTTGGGGTTTTTTTGCAACAGCAGCTGGCCCCCTTATTTCCCTCGGTATTATTCATAAAATAGATTTCACTCACTGAAATAGACTCCATAGCATGAGTCAGAAGAGATCTGGGTTATCTCCTGGCTCTCATATCCCTGTTTTTATGATCTTGGACAAAGTACTTAAATCTCTCTGAGCCTCAATTTTCTCATCTGTAAAATGGAAATGAAGCTTGTAAATGCTGTTTATTAGGGTTGTGTGGAGGAAATGCGTTTGTAAACTTTCAAGCAATATTCAGCTCTAAGATGTGGTGATGCCGCTTGTCATCATTGTTAATGGAGAAAAGCTGGAAGGAAAGCTTGGCTGAGGCTAGAATTTGACTCCTGGTGACTTCTAAGATGAATCTGGCCCAGATCATAAAATATCTTATCTAGTGAGTTTTAGAGTCTGAGTAGGGCATGTGTATTATTAGCAGGTGTGGGAGAAATCCCACAACAGTGGAATAGAGTAGCAGAGGGCAAAGATTGATGGGATAGTTAAAGGTAAGCCAGCTTTCTAGGCTCTGTTCTTCTGGGCTAGATCTCATTTGACACTTTGTTGCTCCTTCATGCTCCTTCATGGAATCTAAAACTGTCAGCTATTGACTTTCTTACCCCTTTCTCCTTTGGTAGGAGACTAAAGGGCCCCTGCAGGACGGCACCACAGCAGACAGAACCGGACGCTCCGACTCTACCGCCAGCGCAGTGGAGAGGACTCCAGGTAGCCTCGCTTCCTTGTTTGGCTGGGTGGTGCAGTACTCTCTTGGCCTCTATGACAAGGCCAAGGGGATGAGCCATCGACTCCAAAGCACCATTTCCTCGCTTGGGCACCAGGTAGCCCAAAACCCTTTGGACTCCTTTTTCATGTGTCAGCTGCTTGCTTTTGCAGTCCCCTTTCTCTATGTACTATACATATTACTCATACAGATTGTGGGGGAATTTAACTGGCAGGCTGCTAGCCCATAGAGAAGCAATTTGTAGAGTTATTAGAAATTGCTGCTAAAATAGCTCTGGGGCCTGACTCCACCCATCTCACCAGGGAAATTGTGCAGATCTTCTCCAAGCATACAGAGGGTTACAAGACAAATTTCTCATGTCGTTGACCCCAGGTGAGAAATCTGGCCATTCCTATAGCTGGCCATTTTGGACTTTATTGGCATATTATTTTGGAATTGAGAAGCCTCACAATCTGGATCTTTTGTTTTCACTTAAATTCTAGAGATCCCTCTGTCCTCATCCTTTCATTAAGTGTCTGGATAAGATGCTGATGCTGTATTTAGTTCCTAACTGTTAAAAAAAAAAAACACACCCAATTCCTGTCTACTTTGGTGGTCAGTTGTACTTCCCTTAATTTCAGAGAGTCTTTCATTGACCATCCCTAACAACATCAGCATGCATGTTAGTGCCACTGTCATTACTTAAAAGAGGTACTTATCTTAACTAGTGCTGAGGGATGGTATAGCAAGGGTGACCAGAATGGATGTGAAGTGGGAGGAGGAAGAAAGTTTGTCCTTTGGATAAATAACCTGTTATTGAAAACATATGGTTTTATTCTTAAAATTGCTTTTTGTTTTATGGATTAAGGCTGTGACTATGTTTTCATATAAGAGATTTAATTGCATATATCCCTTTTTTTAAAAAAAAAAGTCTTCCAAGCAGCCATTTAAGAATACATGGTTTTTAAAGTGGGGAGAAAAGGGGCTTTAGATTTTTACCAAGAAATTGGGTTTTAAAACTAAAGAGTGTGATATTAGCAAATGTCCAGGACTATGAACTAGTTGGTAATGAAGGTGAAAACAGAAAAGACTTGTCCCTCTCTGCAGCTCCCCACTCACAAACAGCATCTTCCCAGAGATGAGTCTTCCCTGTACCTCAAAGCCTGTAGAAGTCACTCTGTAGAAACTAGCACGTGCTTCCAGCTGTGGGCTGGGCAAGAATGGCAAGGGCGGGTGACTTGGTATAGTGAGCCATGCCATTCTTGGCTTTTTGTATTATTCCGTAGTACATATAGCCCGTTCTATAAATCTAGGAAATGTTTTCATTTACTATCCTTGTGAGGCTGACATTTTATACAGTAAACCAGTAGTAATATTTAACCCTTAGCAGTACTTGATGCCCTTTCCTCTGATAGAGTGCTGACAGCTGTCCACAGTTGACATTTATGAGATATCAAGGAAGGTAGTATTTCCATAGTGGAAAGACCAGGAAGGAATCTTCACAGAACCTTTTTCCTTGTCCTTGAATATATGTTTGACTGAGTAAGAAAGCTTGTAATCACATGTACTGGTCAGTCTATGAGGCTTCCAAAGAAGTCTCTTTGATATCAATGAAAAAATATGGAGGCACTAAACTCACAAGGATATCTTTGAAAAGAATTGAACTGAGTTATAAATTCAGATCATTCCTGACCATATCATATTTCCATTTTGCCCATCTAGTTTTGGTTTCTATTCTTGTCTACTAGTTGAGAAAATCGTAATTTTCAGTTTTGCAGCAGTTTAATTCTTCTTTTAGGCCTGTGTTTTTTACTTGTGTTCCCTATATTAATTATTGTTTTTACTGCATTGTGGTCTGTAAAGGATATGTTTAGTAAATATTGGTAAAACTCAATTTTTTATTTTTTTAAATAAAATTTAATAGAAATAGAAGTTCTAATCTTTCTGTACCCCAATGGGATCTTTTTGCACACCCTACTTTGGAGACCACTGCCCTAGGAAATTATTTTTTTTAAAGGTACTACGTGGTGCTAAAATATATATATTTTCTTTAATGTTTCCAATCAGAAGACACCATAAGTCATTAGATCCAACAGTTTTAACTGTTCAGTCCTATGATCTCCTTTGTTTAAATTATGATTAGATTTGGCTAGCTCTGAGACAGGAACATTAAGTCTCCTACAGTTATTTTTGTTGTTTTCTGCTCTTTTTGCAGTTCAATTAACTTTTCTTTTTTTCTTTAAATTTAAATGCTTTGTCATTTTCTTCAAACATATGCTTGATTTTTTTTTGCATTTCCCTATCTATATTTCCCTGATTATCTGTCTTGAAATTATAAATTTTAAGTTTTTTGCTTTGTCTGATGACACGATTGCAACTCTTTTTTTGAATCAAAGTGATGTATAAGAAAATTTGTTCCAGCTTTTTGTTACAATAATAATAGTTATAATAACAATACTTATTATTTTTGCTTCATATATGTCTGGTTTTTAGATGTGTTTCTTATATGCATCAAATTGCTTTGTCTGTTCTGCCACTCTTCCATTTTATTGGCCTCTTTAATCTCATTCACATTTGAAATTTTGATTGTTAGGTTTGCATTTTCCTCTTTTTTTTTTTTGGTATTGAGTTTCATCACCTTCCTTCTTTATCCCTGCAATTTGCTTACACTACTTTGATGCTGTTTTATTCCATTTTACCTACCCTTTCTCATTCTTTGACTTCACTTAAATTAGTTTGTTTTTATTTATTTGTGTTTTTCCTTTTATGACCTTCTCTTCAAAATCATTCCTTCTCCCACCCTTAAATGACATTCTTTTGTTGTGCCCTTTCCTAAGAAGTTTTCCTTTGTTATGATCTCATTGTTATTCTTCCTTTCTAGTCTATTCTGAATTCTAGTCTCCAGTTCATGAACTATATACCCTTATTTATTATTTCTTTATTCCCTTAGTGTCTCTTTAAGGATAGAACATTTGGAGTACCAAATTAGAACTCTTTCCCATTTTTATATTATTCCATTTTCAGATTTTACCCATACTTGGCTCTCTCTTAGAAATATCTATTCATGAAGAAAGCAATGTTGAATTGAAACACTGTTCCAAATTTTGAGGCCTTATCCTGCTGTCCTTACCATCAGCACTCTCTACTCATAAAGCCAAATTATCCTGTCTCTGGTTCTTTGTCCTCCCTATCTTGGGATGCTGGCTACCTTTGGGGACTCATACTTAACCTTTTTCTTTGGTGAATCACAGTCCTGAGGAGTACAACACTTTCTATGAGAAGATAGTTTCCGAATGTGCAAATTCTCTCTAAACAAAATATTAGGTCCCTGTCTCTTAACACAATTATGCACCTCCCCTATTTCAGATGTAAATGTTCTTCAGTGCAGTGACTTGCCCAGGGTCACACAGCTGTCAAGTGTCTGGGGTCAGATTTGAACTCGAGTCTTCTTGAATACAAGGCCAGTGCTCTATCCACTGCGCCATCTAGGTGCCCCGATAGGACACATTTCTTTGCCCTTTCAGGGTAATCCTCCTTAGCTTCTTACTGTGCCTTTCCCCTCATTGCTTTTATCCTATTCTCCCACAGCCCACAGATTTGGAAATTTACCAGGTCCTTCTGTATTCATCTGTGGGCTGGGTACAGTTTCCCTTGGCCTCTTATCCTCTTTCTCCCTTTTCTCCTACATTCCCATAGTGATTATCTTTTCCATAAAAGAGGTTGATTCGCTTCTTGTAAATCACACAATTTAGTCAATGAGTGAATGAAAAAGCATTTGTTAGGTACTTTTTTATGTCAAAGCACTGTGCAGTACAAACATTGAGGGTACAATTAGAACAATAATAATCTAATTTAAGATTAATTTATGATATTTAACTCTTCCACCTTTCCTTCCTGTTTGTTTCATTTAAACCTTTAGCCCCTTAGATTTTTTTTATCCCATGAGTTTCTTTACTGATTTTGATTACTTAGTCTTTTCTTATAATTGTAACTTACTCCTTTCTTGTGTTTTGTTTGAGGAGTTTGCTAGTCAGATATTCTAGTCTTTTTTTGTTTTTTTTTGCAGAAATATCTTTTGCCTCTTTTTTCTTGAAGGTACATCTTTTTTCATTGATTAGGCTCAGCTTTGTTAAATATGTACTTTCAAGTTGCAGCTTAAGTTGCTTTACCTTTTGGAATATACAGTTCCGTTTTCTCCAATTTACCACGACTGCAGAATATAATTCTGGGTTATTCAAATTGGTGTTCCTTCACATTTGACTGTCTTTCTCTTGACTGCGTGCATAGTTTGCTATTGAAATTTCGAGATATAATTACTGTATGCCTTAAGGTTTCAAACATGGTTTTTCCTTCTCCTCTGGTAGTAATCTATGGATTCAATCAATTATTGCTTCGTCTTCTACATTTAAAAGTTTTGAACAGTTTTCTTGTTTTCCTGCTGTGTTGGTATTCAAGTTTTTTAATGTGTCGTATTCTCCTAGGAGATCTATAACCCTTAAGTTACATCCATACATCCTGTCTTCAAGATCATTCATTTTAGGTTGCGTTTTTGGTTTTTTGTTTTTTTGTCTTTTTATAAATATCATTGCCTTTTCCTTCTCTTGTACTTTTTTCTTCTAATTTTCTTTTACTTCCCTATTTTGGTTTTTAAATCTTTTATTCCCTCTTTCAGAGCCTGAAATTGTTTAGAGAAATTCTGTATCATGTCTTTTAAATTGTGTCCTCTACAGTTTGCATACTTTAATTTCATATTAAGAATTTCTGATCTAATTTCATTCCAAATTTCTCTCTTTTTGCGGGGGGAGGCTAGGCAATGGATTAAATGACGTGCCCAGGGTCATGCAGCTAGTGTCAAATATCTGAGGCCAGATTTGAACTCAGGTCCTTCTGACTCCTGGTGCTCTGACCACTGAGCCACCTAGCTGCCCCCCCAAATTTCTTCTTTTGAAAGTTGACTTTCTTTTTGAAATATTCTGGAGTTTCTTATTGTTTCATTGGCTCTAAG